TTTTTATTGCCTGTGGCATGGTACACTGGAATGCATCACAACTACTATCATAGAGACCTCTCAGAGGCCAAGTCTGGAACTAGATCATCTGCATTTCTCAGGCCAAATTCAAGAGTTAGTTACTTCCCCTCTCCAAATCACTGCAAGACTGATGAGGTCTAGAAAAGAAACAAAATGCAGCTTTCCCTGCTTGCTTGTTACAGCCAGTCTGTCCTTTTCTCTACAGTCTGGTCCCCACCTCATCTCAGGAATGTTAAGCGTTTTCTGGTATTGCTTTGTTACTCATTTAAAAAAAAAAAAAAGGTGAATGCTGGCAATGAAGATATCAGGGATTGCCTGGAGAATCTAGAAGCGTCAGGAAAAACAATAGAATTGGATCTGTATTTCTAAACTGGCACTGAGCTTTGCAGTTGCAACAAAAACCTTTCATAATACTTTAGATATTGAAAACCAGGCTTTTAGCTCTGACTCAGCTCTGAGTTATGTATTTGATTAATACCAGTTAATTTTTTTTTTTTTTTTAGTTCTACCTTATACAAGGACGTTGGCCACAGAAATGTCACAAAAACCCTCTTCCATCACTGTCTATGGTTTGTAGAAATGATATTTTACAAAATTTCCTTGAAGGAATCTGTACACACATGGTTAAAGTTGGTTTTGACACCTGCGTTACTATGTCTCACATAGGTATATTTATCAAAGCGCTGGATCTCAGTGGTTACTTTGAACTCCCACTCCCAGAATTAAGATGTAGGGTGTTCTCTGTTTATTTTTGAACCCAGAGTGTTATTTGGTAGATAGGCAGATAACATCTTGATTCGAGGGCTTTTGTGTTCTAACTCACCTAGTTAAAATATGTGGGAGTCTAACGGTTCTCTTCCTTGTTCACAACAGAAATGCCAGGGTTAGCTCACTGCTCCCAAGCATAAATCAACACGTCTTACACGTGAGAGAAGAGGTTGTCAGAGACTGTGTAATACCTCTTGTCCCTAGTACTTTCTTCTTCTTCTTCCCCACACCTCTCCCCCTTCATTTTTTCAAGCTCTAGAGTCTCACATATCATAGTTAAGTCCAACTGTGTTTTCCTAAATGTGGTATTTTTAAATTGTTCTGTGAAGCATGGCTTGGCTGATTGCTTCTGAAAGAAGGCCCACTCTGAAAGAAAAAGGGAAATCCAGCCCAAGTCCATGCGTAGCAAGGGTGATCCAAAGGAGTGACACAGGCCGCACTGCTCTGCACGGACACCTCCAAGCTGCAGCACAGCTCCTGCCTTACATGTGGGAAACAAAATTTTTGAATATGTTTTACAACAAACCCGTATCTAAAAATACCATGGTTAGACACCTCACACATACACTCAAAATATTGACCTTTAAGCACCAAAAGCATGGGGATTTCCTACAAGGCAAGAGAATGACCTTTGTTACGGAAGCCCAATATAAATCTGAGACCATGATGATTGTTATGGGTGTTGAGCTGCAAATCTTACTGGGAGTTTCTTCCTGGTATTTTTCTTCTGTTCAGATGCGTACTCCCACATAATCCCAACAGCCTTGCTAGCCTCTTGAAATTCCCGTTCTCAGATGTGTTTGGCACAGGAATAAGTACAGACTACTGTTCTAAGTACAGACTTAGAAAAGGAAGGAACATTAGGCACCGACTGCACATCAGTTAAATATTCTCTTACAAGTTTTCAATCTCTAGGTAACTCTAATTTACACCAGGAACTGGAGAGGACTGGAATGATTTCTGCTATTATCCCAGGATCCCTGATGCATGCAGAAACCCACATCTCCAAATTCATTTACCCTACTTTGTTTACCACTATTTAATTTTCTCTAGGTTTTAACAGGAGCAGCAAGGAAGCTCACCACTGTACCATGCCTTGCAAGGACAGCCAGCACTGGGAATGTGCCTGTTGATATCACACGGGTCTATAGGACAGTAACTGGAAGAGACCTACGTCCCTAATTCCAGCTACAGCTTCTCATCCAGAGATGCACACTGAGATGAATGTCCCCACATGAGGAGCCCAGACCCTGCCCACAGATGTAGCAGCTGTGGGAAAGTACACTCTGACAAATACACCCTTTGAACGCTGTGGTCCTACAGGCCATACCCTGGGGTTGAGCAGGCACCTGCACAAGCTGTTGCCCACACCACCCACCATGTGCCTCCAAAAGGGAAGGAGGATATGACATATAGCAGGCCACTAGTGGCCATCTTGAAGCAAGGCAAACAGTAACCCTAATGATAAATGAGGAGAGACTACTCACTGCCATGGTTCCTAGAAACACGCTTGCAAGAAACAGTATTGCAGTGAATGAATGACACTTACTGAGGTTCACCTAAGTGATGTTGCCAGACCATCCCTGCTCCTGAGTCTCTCTTCTTGCTGAGGGCCCCTTGAACGGCTGGAAGGAGCAAAACTGCTGAAGGGTCCCTGCCCCTTTGTCTGATTTTATTTTTTTTTCTCTTTTATGATGGTTTATTTTACGTAGCACTCAGGACTCTGGACTGAATTTGTGGGCTCACGTGCAGTGGTATTGGCCCAGTGAGAGGTTTCTCGCTAACAGTTACCACAAGAGGAAATTCCTTTAGGACAAAAAAAACCCCAAACCCTTACAATGAAAAACTAAGTTGTACTGTTGGTTGCCAGTTCTTTGTTTTTAAGCAAAAATAAAAAAATACCCACATCCTTTAAAAGTTTTGCCTTATCAGAATAAAAAGATGTAGCCTGTTACTGACATGCAGCAAGAAGGTCCATACCAGCCATGGTGATTTCTCCATTTCCTTGCTGGGAAGGAAATGTGAGCCCTGTGAGACTGGAGGAGGGTGGTGAAGGTGAACACAGAGGCTAGAGAGGAGGAAGGAGCCCTCCAAGCCCCTTCTGGCCATGGGCACTTGCAGAGCTTGTGCACCCTACACCAAGTCACCAGGAGGTCTAAGTAAGTGCTGGCCTCAGGAAAGGAAACACATGTACAGGGAAATCCCAGATAATTTTCAAGGCTTTGCTATATAAACATATTAAAGAACTTAAAGTAATCTGCTGGCAGAAAGCAAGAGCTTATGTCTTTCAGTGTGTTTGTTTTAAGATGCCAATCAAAGGTTCTTTCCGCAGCAAAAACTCAGTGGTAGATTTGTCTTTGTGCATGCTGTTGGGATTGGGCCCAAGAAGTGACAGCTGACAGATAGGGACTTAATTAACGTCCACTAAGAAGCAGGAGGAACAAATGTTATCGAATGTTATCGGCAGTTTCACCTGACTCATGCAATGGGCTGATAATCCATTGAGAACTCCATGGAGGTGTGAAAGCAGCATGGTCCCCCCTTGGGGTGACTGCTTTCCTCTCATCCAGAGGCAATGTTTCAGCCAGTCTCACCCCTTGCACTGGGAAAAGAAAGCAGATGGAAAAATTACTAATGACTTTGCTGGCTCAGGCATCACAATGGGCCTTTGGGATCTCTGTTGACCTTGCACATAAGGAGAAAACTGGGGTTTTAAGTTTTATGACAGAGGTTTTCTCCCAGTGATGGAAGTAAAAGGCATGATATGAACTGCTGAGTGCTGGAACACAGTCCTCTTCTGCCTGCAGCTTGGTATCTTGTGAAATGAAGGATAAACAAAATGTCTGGTTTATGAATCATGACTTTCAATAAGAAGTGACATTGATATCTTAAATTGGGATGGACATAAATAAAGTCCATAAAGTGTTAGATAAGTTAAACAGCATGAAAAAGAACTCATTATATTTTTAGCTTGTAGAACAAAATCTTTCCCACAGGGTTCAAAATAGTTTTCAACAAATAAGTTCCTTTCAAAACAAAACTACAGAAGTTTTAAAAGTTTTCACTTTTAACTTTGTCAAGCAAAGAGGCACAAAACCTCATATATAATAATCAAAGGCATGAAGACACAATCCTGTCAGAGATCAAAAATTGCATTGAATCCTTTTTTTTTGGTAATGAAGAGGAAGAATTCCCTGGTGCTTTCACTGTGGAGAAACAGACGCTGCAGAGGGGGCTGTGACTGGCCTTGCCTGCTCCGTGAGTGCCTCTTTTTGGAAGGGTGCAGAGATTGTCCCACCATCCCACTGCTTATCCCCCTCTCCCTGGCACTACTCTGCTTGTGTTCAAGCATTAGGAAGCAGCCAGAAATTAAGAGATGCTACAGTAAATGGTAGAAAAAATGTCCAAAAGGGAGATCACAATCTGACTGAGCAGTGCCTGTGGGTCAGGCTGAGAGCACATAAAAAGACCCCTTTTCTTTCTTGAGTGTCTTTATGCTCTTGTCCTTCTTGGTGTGTTTTTGTGTTTGGGGTTGTTTCCCCCTTTCCCCACCCCGACCTTAATTTTTTTCCCTATTCCAATCCTGTTCAAATTGCCTCGTGAGTGGAAACAAACAGCAGCCTCAGCCAGGCTCAGTATTCCACAGTCACACCTTCCACTGTCTGTGTTAACATACTTCTTCAGGTGCACAGTTTGCCCTGTGCTCTCCTGAAGCCTGGAAGTGTCACTCCCCCAACCCTCCTGCCTTACCTGTTTTAGAGTAAGCATAACTAAAAATCGTAAGGCCACGGAAAAGTTGAGGCAACAAAGATACACTTGGATAGGAAATACACGTACATATTTTTCACTCGTGACAACAATTTAAAGCTGCCCGAAGTCCGAAACTCTCTAATGTCAATTAAATCAGCTAGGGTTGCCGGAGGCACCCAGCAGCCTTCATTTAATAGATTATGGGAGCACAAAATAGACATGTGGCTGTAAGTATGTAGTAGATATGTGATCAATAGCTCACATGAGCGTAGCAATTTATCTCAGGGATATCAGAATATGCATGGCAGCATTTTCTAACTAAACAAAAGAAAACCCAGCCTCTGGGTGAAGCTTTGGATGGAACAATGTTATCAGACCTCACCAGGCAAACATGAAGAACATATAAAATGAGCTGCTCCAAGGGTGACCAGCACCTCTCCTCCACCCACCTTCCAAGAGCGATGGACCTCAAAGTGGTCTCTGTGCTCTCCGTCATCCTCTTCGTAGCCCTCAGCAGCTTGGCAGAGGGAAAGACAGTACCAAGTAAGTATATCCATCTGCTGTTGCTTCCACAGGTACGTATGTGGACCTGATCCTACTGACTGTAACTGCAGCAAGAGCATGTCTCCAGCTGATAGGCAGCGAATGTCTTGTTCTGGTACTATTACCAAAGTTGGAGTCTACTTTTTGATTTTTTCAGAGAAATCTATGGCAAAATAAAATTAAAAACAAACAAACAAACAAACAAACAAACCTGCAGGTGAGCTTTTGTGTTGGTGCAATAACCAAGAACCTGCTACAAAGGCAGAGGGACAGATGTGCCCAGGAGCTCACTGGAATAGGAGACGGCTTTGTCTAAACTGTCTTCTGACTTTTATTTCATGCTACTTTGCCAAGTGAACACAATTTCAAAGGAGTCTATCTGCCTCTTCAATAAAACACAGGCCTTTCAAACAGTTTAAGAAGTGGAAAACAAATCACTCAATGACAGACGCCTAGTAACATCTCCAGAATTTTTTGATTGTGGATGACTGTGCAGTAGACTGAAATATTAAAAGTGTAGCCACAATTAATTGCATGTAATCCTATGTTTTTATAGTGACATAACAAGAATGCAAAGGTTTTTTGTGTTTATGCTTGTTGGAATATTCACTGGAGCCTTAACTCTTTCTTTCTTCACTTGAGATGAACAAAGCAACAAGAATTTATTAGCATGACATTTGAAGATATGGGGTTTTACTGTTTGATATGGTCTATTTGAAGTCCACACACACACACCCCCATACTGGGCTGGCTTGGCTGCGAGTTCAGATTCTCAAAGGGTGTAGTACAACCCTTACGGAAATTAGTGGCAGTTTAAAAGCAGCTTTTAAACCACAAAAACTCTGGTTTTGGCAAGGAACAGAAAAGGTACACTTGCAAACATGGACAGAGTCCAGGGAAAGATCATTATTCCCAGCGGATGTCTGATAAATGCACGAGTGGGCAAACCAACACCCAGTAACTTGCTATGTCTGTCCTGAACAGCGAGATGCCAGTGTAAAGTAGCCCCCAGGGAGAGGAGGAACTGTGGCTACCCAGGAATCTCAGCGATGGAATGCAAGAAAGCTGGATGCTGCTTCAACGCTTCAGTCCCTGGCATGCCCTGGTGCTTTGTTCCTAAACCAAAGAAAGGTAATGTCTCTGCCAGAAATACTGATTTACCTAGTGCTTGATTATGTAGAAATGTTTAAAATGGGAAGCAGCTCTGCTTCCCCTCTGAGGCCAACAAAGTGAGCACAAATCTCTATTACTTGACCACTGGTCGTAAAATGCAAAGTGAAACTTAGCTTACCCATCAGTCTTCTGTATCTCTTCACACAAAACATTTCCTCTTACTTCAGGCTCCTAGTTATCAAATAACCCATGCCGATTATTTAAAAAACATTTCAGTGCGGACTGTGGTCTTGTTCATCAGTGAAGCAAGCAATCTTTACAGATTTAAATGGGTTTTCTGTGTGGCTTGGCAGGACTTTAGCACTGCTCGTCAAAGAAATCAGAAAGTCCTGAGCAGATGAGTTCATCTGTAGTGGTTTGACACCTGTACAAAAGATAACAGTTATACTGTAACCTCTAGGCTTTTTTTGCTCTTTTCTCTAGCCTGTTTTGATATTTGCTACTTCCTTCCTGCTTCCCAGCATAATTGCACTTGGTGGTTCCTATTTTTGCTCTTAGTCTTTGTTGAATGAGGCCTCCAAAATACACCAGGGGAAATCATTTTCCTATTAGTCTTCCTTCTAAAGCTTCTAAACTTCTGGTTTTGTTTTTTTTTTTGCCTTTGTTTTCTCAGAGAGGGTAAGAGCTGCCCTCCCAGTCCTCCAAGGACTGGGTATGTACTGTACATAACTGTGGAATCTAGGATACATTTGCTGGGCTGACTACGCGACAACTTAGGAGAACTTCAGGGTGATGTCAGCAGTTGCATGGGTGAAAAGAAAGGAAGAAGGGTGCAAAGGCAACATTACCCAATAAAAGAACTTTATGTGAATCAAGACTGGTCAACAGGGCTCAGAACTGTCTGAGAAAAAATGTAGTGTTTGGGGTTTTTTTAAATGTTGTTTGCATTTAATGAAAATCTTGAAAAACAAACGTCGTCATCTTATGGTGTCATTTTCATAGAACTGCTTTTCTAAGCAGAACTGTTTCAGGAGAGGAAAACTGAATTGTTCAGGCTGGGTGGTGTAACCTCTCTGTCTGTGAAATTACGTTAAATTGCCTGGGTGAGCTGTGATTTTCTCCTGAATGAACCTGCCTCCTTTCCATAACGCAACTCAGCGTGAAGAGGAGCCTGGGTTTCCTCTCCCCATATTAGCCAGGCTCCTTTTGTATGTGAATGCTGCTGCCAGGTAAAGGGAGTGTAAACTAACACAGTCTCCTTTCTCCCTTCATTTTTGCTCTATGCAGTTAGGAAATTTTGTCCCACTGATCCTCACGCCAGGAGAGACTGTGGCTTCCCCGGCATCACGGCTAAGGAGTGTGAAAGGAAGGGCTGCTGCTTCAGGGCACGTCCCGCTGGTGTCCCCTGGTGCTTCTACCACCGCGTGGTGGAGGAAGGTAAGGTCCCACATGAGACATTGTCCCCGCCTCCCCGTGAGCCCACATCGGCTGCTGGTGGGGTCCATGCCGTGCCCGGGCTCCGTCTGCTGTGCCAGCCCGGTGTGGCAGGAGGCACTGAGCACGACGAGGTTTCCCCACCTTCCCAGAGTGGGTGCAGTGCTGCCTCACACAGGGCAAGAGCAGGGAAGAGGTGGCTGATGACTAAAAAGACCAGCTTCTTGCACAGAAGGGTGGGTGTTGCCAAAACCTCTGAGCCAGGGTGGTCAAGTCAGTCACAAGTCAGACTTGTGGTGCTGTGGCTGCACAGGTAATCTGGGCTCAGGTGTGAGCTCAAGCCCTCAGCTAATGTGGTGGCACATGTGCAGCTACCAAACCCACATCTACTTTGTCACAAGAGAAAAGGCTTTGCTTTAGAAATGGGGAATGAAATGTACATAAATTTCTGGTCTCTTCCATTTTTTTAATTAGGATTGAGCTTTCAGCATATCTATATATCTATATATCTATATAACCAATAGCCTCACCCAATTCTAATCCACCCTGTAGTGTATTTTGTATTGGAAACAGTTCACCATAATTTGGTTTTGCTGATCCGATTCATGGTTAGGAAACACGTGTATGGATTGGGATGTGGGGAAATCAATTGCTAAAATTAAGCCTTTTTGATGTCCCACACCCAGGCAAAACACTTTCTAGCATCTTATGTAATTTGTGGATAAAACATGTCCCTTGATCTGCTTCTCCTCTTTACCTCCCCAGCTTGTTAAAGCAGAAACTTGCATCAAGAACCTTGCAATCTCTGGACCTACTCCAACAGGAAGCAACAGCCGAAGGTCCCAACTCAGACGTTATAGTTTGCACCAGCTATGATTTTGAGGTCATTTTTACCTTGAATCAACTAATTTCTGATGAAACATTACTCACAGCTTTTATTCTTTCAGTAGGCTCATGTCGTGCAGGATTTCACTGTAATAAAAGAACTGAGACACAATTCAAGAGTTCTCTGCTGTCTTTATTTTAAAGCTGTGTATTTCTCTGTTTCCCGGGAAATTTGGCATCTTATCAACACGCCGATGAAAGAGTAGTCATTAACCCTTCTGAAAGTAACATGGCACTCAGCTTTTGTGTTGGTGACACTTCACACTCAGAAGTGACCGTTTGCATTTCTTAGCTGATGTGTGGCTTCACACGGGCCATTGGGGCCACTTGCCCTTCTGAATACTGGGAAGTGTCTCCCTTTATATAGCTACAGCTGTCTGCTTGGATTTGTGCCTTTTTTTTCCCTCAAGACAGAGACAGGTAACTTTGTTAGCTGACCACTGAGCTGGCCTGCCTCACACACCTCCTGCTCTTTGCATCACTGTGTCTCTGGTGCTGCCAGTCCCTCAGCGCTGGTGCCACTGGGGCACAGAGCTAGCTCAGGAAAGCAGGTACCCAACTGGTACCTGCCTAACCCAACACAGGCTGCAGCTGCTGGTGCAACATGCAGCTGAATCACCAGGCACTCTCCCTGTTAACCACTGTCCCCACAAGCAGGTCCCGTTGGGGCATGCTCAGCAGAAGTCTCTGCAAAGCTAAAAGCAAGACACAGGTCCCTCTGGCCCTGACCTATTCCCGAAATAGACCCTGATGTGTCTCGCCAGATGCAGGAGAAGCTCCTGGTCTTGAGGAGAATGTGGCAGCTTTCTCCTGGGTGTCTTTAGTGTTCGGCAGAGCAGCTTGAATGCTTCCCTGCTTCAGCTGAGTGACAGCACAGTGAAGAGCCTCTAAGAGCACTGTTGGGAACAAAATGGGTGGTATGAGACTGCTGCGGCATCAAGCTGTGCTCGGGGCTTACCAGGACAGAGCAGTTGTGGAGGGTTGTGCTGCAAGGAGGCAGAAAATAGTGGGCACGTGCCACCTTAGAGATTTCTCCAAGTATGCTTTTGTGATGAGTGAGTTTATCCAAGTGGGTAAAAATCAGTCATTCATATAGCTTCATTATCTGGCACTTACAATAGGCTAAATAATAAGAATTGTATTTTTAGTATATTGTAGTATGAGCAATAAACTGACAAGTCTACTGAAGGTCTTTAAAGGTCTTTGCTGAGTAAGGGTTGGTGCTGTAGTCCAGTGAATTTGGGAGGCCTAGGCACAGTGTAATCATGATAACTGCACTGCAAAATCTGGTAGAACAGACAGATGCATTCAGCAGGTAATGGGGCCTCCACATGAGTCTTGTTGGGAGAAAGAATGAAAACATGACCACAGTGAAAATGATAACTGTAATTAGTGCTGTGGGAAATCATCTGCAAGGACTAAAATTAGGCTGCTAGAGTCAGTGCTCTTCCATGGTAGAGCCCTCACAGAGCTACATGTTCTCACCAAAAGGCTCCTCCTTCTGCACGGGCACATGCCAATGTGTAGGAGTGTGTGAAGGTCTTTCAGACGCTTAAGCTCACATGTATAACTACTTAATACTCTTTGTCTCACCCTCCCAGATCTCTCCATTGGACCTGTGCCAGTGAGGCAGGCACAGGTTTGTGGTCCTGCTGGGCTTCCTCCACCGCAAGTGTAACAGGGCTGGATTTGCCTTTGCAAGACAAATTATGAGCAGAAATGTCTTAGTGAGAGGGATGGGTGGGTACTGTGGCATCCTGTGCTACATAACCTGATTGGGAAACTCAGCCTGGCAAGGCACAGCAGCTGAGACTCCTAGGAATTGCTTGAGCCCTTCTGTTGAAATGGTCTGCGCGCTGGCATGGAGAAAAGCAGTGATGACAGTACAGGGAAGTGAAGCTGGCAGCAGTCTGGCCCCAGAGAGATAAGTATGAAGGGCTGAACTTGCTTACTTGCTGTCCCTGGGCATGTTGTCCTCTGCAAAAACCACCTACTGCTGTGTGCTGACCAGCAAACCATTCCCAACAGCATGCTAAGCCAAGGCACTGGGTCACGCAGTTGCTCTGGATATTTGAGGTTCTAAATCAGTTAGTAGCTTATAGCACAACGAATTATGACCTAAGGATCTGTCATCATCCTGTCATCAAGTCATCAAGTCCTACAGGACAATGGCTATTATGGGAATTTACATTAAGTAAATGCTTGAGCTCTTGTATAGACTGCTATCCAAATGCACTTGAAAAAACTGCCCAGAATTCTTAAAATTAACTTTTTTTTTTTTTTTTTTTAAGAAAACAAGCTGTCAAAAACAGAATTAAAAGCCACAGCCACTTAGGATTTAAAGATGGCAGGCCGAGCCAAGGTAGAGCAAAGTGAGATCCCAAGCCAGGAATGCACACCAAAGAGAAGTGTGCAGGACCTGCAGAGATGTGGCTACAGAAGGAAGGACCTTCCTCTCCTCAACTCTGTATGTTCCCCTCATCTGAGTCAACCACCATGGGCCCTGTTCACAGCCCTCAGGCAGAAAAAAAGACACCTCTGAGCTGGAAATTGTCTGACTAGTTCAGATGTCCCCAGTAGGGCGGATTGAACTGTCCAAATAGGTCTCCCTCCTGCTCAGCTCCAGGGGGTATCTAGAAAAGCAGCTGTACATATCTGCTCTCCTTCCTTGGGTTTTCCCATCAGTGCCTCCTGATGATGGACGGAGCCACTCAAGGGACAGGAGAGAGAGAGGAATGGGCAATAGCACTGCCCTGGCACAGATGTCTGAGCTGGTGGTGGAAACCTAAGAAAGACAAACCACTGCATGGGAAAAGAGGCATCCTGGCTGCTGGCAGCTGTTTGCCTTTGGGAGCTCACAGTCTGACCAGCAGACAGACACAAGTAGATACATGCAGTCACTTCATTTATTTTGCATCAATACATTGACAAGCTTCACTAGCTAACAGGATTGAAACAGTTTTGTATTACTGGAGTATACAGTCTCCTTTTTTGCTCTTTGTTCACCTTTTTTTTTTTTTTCCTTTCTTTTTTGCTTGCATGTAACTCTATTCATCACTAGGATGATAAATTAAACCAGAAACTTTAAAACTGTTTTTAGTGTTTCAGGCTGGTTACTTTACCCAATTAATCTGTATAATGGAAAGAAATGCGAGTGCACCCACAGCTCCTTGAGACTGAGGAGTGGCCACACTGGGCCATTTCAAATATTTTGGATCAAAAGGGTTGTCTAGGGAGAGGTGCAGGCTAAGCATATAACGAGGCTTCTCTTCTAACAAAATGCAGGACTGTTACAAATGTGAATAAGTTTTAACAAGCAAATATGTGAAACCCAAAGGAGGACTTATCTTTTGCCTCTCTGCAACTCAGCTTGCACACCCACATTGCTGTGGAGAGAGTGCTGAATAAGTAAAGTTCTGAGTACTGTTCTAGAGGAAAAAGGCCAGCAAAGGTGGTACTGTAACAGGAATCAGTCATCTATGTCACAAAGCAATTGTGCTGATGAGGCTATTACATAGACAGTGAGAATGAAGTTTAAAATCACGAATGCCTGGTAGCCCTAAACTGTCTATAATCATGACGGCTGTGTCCAACCAGTGCTTCAGCTTCTAAGAAAGGCTTACTAGAAAATGTTTGAAATTGCAGATTGATTGCCTGTATAGCTCTTCAGTGAGTGAGGATATTCTACTGTTTTTTAAAGCAACTGTAGCCAAGCAAAAGGTCTCAGAAATCACTCATTTTGAAGCAAGACAGGAAAGCTGTATTTGGCTCATGTGGAGAATTAACAGGACAGAAAACCAGAGCAGTCAAGGAGCTCAGAGCAGATGGGTGCTAGCAACAAAGAACAAACCTGTAGCAGCATGAAAACGGGATATAACTGAAAACACTTCCAAAAAACACAACTTTTAATGTGCCCACTTACTTCAGATCCCATTCCCAAATGTCTGGAAAGGGTTTGCTGCCTGCTACAGCCAGCATCACACACCTCCTCTGGCAAAGCTCCTATACAAAAGGAAGGTTTCAGACAAAGTGCTAAAACAAACCAAAATAAGAATACAGAAACCAAAATCTTCCTCTCTTGAGAGCAACTACATCATGTTGTTCTGCCACAAGTCTCTAATGAGCTACTCGTTTTACTAAAGCTTGAAAACTCAACCATGATGCTATTTAACTGCTAGAAAAGCTGAAGGTAAAACACAAGAATAAAATCTTATTCCTTGTGTTAAAACCAGGCAGAATGGTGATATCAAGACCCAGATTCGGTTTCAAGGAAGTTACCCTCACTGCCAGGCTGAGTCCAAAGATGGGAACTCATCACTCCGAGGTGTGATTTGCAAAACCGTCCTTAAGAGCAAGGCTCAGTTTGAGAGTTTCTGAAGCTCTCAAGTGAGTTTCTCAAACAGCTCTCTGCCAGAAACAAAAGTCCTCTGTGGGCAGAACAGTCTGCTATTATTCTGTAAACTTCTTTTTCCCCATTTGAACCATATTCTAAAGCTTTTGAAAGCTGCCAGTGTCAGTATACAAAATAGTGAGCTGTCTGACTACCTACAACAGCATGCATGGATCTTGTGTTGCATGTAGTGATGGATAAATTTCATAAGAGATGAATCTGCTTGCATTCTATCTGGTCCTCAGAGATCACAGGGGCTAGGGAAAACAGGACTTATCTCTTGATAGATATGCCAATTATTGCTGTGACTATAGGTCTGACACCAGATGCACGAACAGCCTGTCTGCTGTAGGTCTGGTTGCATTCAAGAGAAGCAGTTTGGTGCATGAATAGCATTATTTATTCCCATGCAACATACACAGATTCTTTGAGATAGCCTGTAATAAATGCACTAAGATGCAGACTAGCTATACAGCTCTAAAATACAATTGCAATCAAGAATTTAATTTCCTGGCAAAGCACTTGGAGTAGCTGAGGTCATGAATCTTACCTAAAGGCATCCCTTCTGGGAAGGGTGAGCAGGACAAAGCCGTCCATCCATTCCTCTGAATCTGGTGTTGAATTGTCCTCCCCAAGTTAGGTCTGAACTAGGGATAACACACACACTCTGTTATGTACTGTTGCACAAAGTGCAGGGGTGAGACTGTGGCAAGGCCATTATTTTTTGCTATGATCAGCCTTTAGCAGTGGCATGAAACATTTATAACTTTCTTGGTAACTTCTGTGAGACGCAGGTAACTGCTGCGATGAGTGGGAGAATGGGATAAGCAGAAGAACAAGGGTGCACAGCCTTCACTCTGCTCCACGTTCCTCCTCAGTGCCATGACAGCACAGACCACTGGATCTTCACCCAGTCTCAATGCATAGTCACCAGACATTTATCAGCAATATTGAGCTCTGCAGTTTTCACCTGTTTTGTGCTTCCAACACCCTATACCAGTACCCTCCACCAAGCACACAATGGGAGGATGAGACTACAAATGTGTCCTCAGTACTACAAGACAGAGGTCAACAAGGTAGACTTTGCTCTAAAATACATGTGCTGCAATGCCTAATACATTCAAGCGCTACAAGTAACTAGAAGCACTCACAGATGCTACAGAAGAGGATATTGTTTTGTTCTAGTCTTTGCAGTCATTCGGTGCTGCTCCCTCTGCTAATGAAAGGTAAAATTCCTGTGTGCCTACGAGAGGTGAGCAGGGCAAGGAAACAAAGTACTTTTCTGATGGAGACTGGTGTATCTATTCATCTAGCTATAATAACTTCTTGTGCTTTGAGAGCACCCTTTGTATACCCATTGTGGCCCTCAGAGAAGACACAAAACAAAAACAGGCTTTTGCAGGGTCTTGCTCCCATCTGTCTCTGAGTTACGTCTCCAAGGCTGCCTTCAATGTAACGCTTCCACCTCTGAGCATAAAAAAAGATTGCTTTGGAAAACAGAAATTTTGTGGGATTTAATATTGATGTCCCACAACTGAAATGAAAGTCTGGAAGCCAGGAATCAAAATACTTCACTGCAGCTGAGCCAAATACCTTCATTGCTGAACTTGTTGCAGAAACTGGGAAATTCCCAGGATTCAAAGCCCATAAAAGTCAGTTGGGTCTGACTAAGTGCAGGAGTGGACTGATGGTTGTTTGAAAGCAGGTATCATCAGTTTGATGATCCTGCGGTATTTCCAGGAAGCTTCATTAATGATAAATCTGGCAAGTAAAACCCAGCTAGGACACATGTTCCTTCCATGGGGTAGGTTTTCCCCTGTTCGTTACCCTTTTTCAGAATTGGCAACTGATGCTTTGTGTCAGTACAGGAGGCAGGGAGCAGCACGGAGTCCCCAGGCAGCTGCAAAGAAGGAACTTTACTTACAAGAAACCTGGCCTTTTTATCCATTAGTTGACCATTAGTTTATATACTTTTTAGGCACAACAAACTCATTTTAACTAACCACCAAACACCATGGTGCAAACACACAACATGCCTCGCCTCCTCTATTCTAACTGAGTCACTCTCCCAGAGCCCTTCTCTACTTCGCGTAAGTTACAGGCCAGAGCCATGATTTTGTCAGGCCTTCCCTTACAAAACTGTGCTTATCGACTACAATGCTTCATCAAGATTTAGGATAAGGGTTTCAACAAACAGGAGGAGCAAAATCAAAAGCTTTACTGTAGCTTTTCTTTCTCCTCTAAATACTATGGGGCTACTTTCTTATTCTTACACAGGAGAAACACAG